GAAAGGGGAATGAAATGACCTTTCAGTACGCACAATATGTACGATGAGGAGGAATGGGGAGAGACGAAGAATGAGGACTTGATAATAAGAATTGGAATACGGTTCAATATCAAGAAATACGAAAACAAATAACATACCTGAACATTTGCTAAGATATAATGGAATCTAAATCTCTATGTGTCGCCTGATCGCCTCGGTTTCATTAGCACAGGAGACGGGAAGGCAGTGTCCAATGTAGTTTTACTACTGGAATCATAAGTACCTGAAATGTCACCAGCTTCGAACTGATTAATTTCTGCTCTTAGTGCCAGAAGAGAGAACGAACTGAATTGTATTCACCAAGTAGCTGTTTGCTGATTGGCTGTTGGATCTCCGATTTCTACTCATCAGTCACTTTTTTTTTTAGTTTAGAGTAGGCCTACTGTGAACGAGGCGTCACAAAAAGCGTGGACTAACATAACCACGAAGACAACGTTGTTGGTTGTTTTTGTCCCCCCCCCCCCGCGTGTGTGTGTGTGTGTGTGTGTGTGTGTGTGTGTGTGTGTGTAGAGAGAGAGAGAGAGAGAGAGAGAGAGAGAGAGAGAGAGAGAGAGAGAGAGAGAGAGAGAGAGAGAGAGAGAGAGAGAGAGAGAGAGAGAGAGAGAGAGAGAGAGAGAGAGTGTAGTCCTTTGAGTGTCTGTACAGTGTAGGACGGGGATGGACGAAGTACATGTAGTAAAATAAAACTGTGCAACTTTTTTGTGTGTGGGAACGCAAACTGCCCCACCAACGCCTCCTTTATTACAGTTAAGACTAATAAGAGTAGGCGTTGTGAACGACCCATTCGTCTTGAAAGAAATATTCTCTTTCGTCCCCGCCTCTCTAACCCCTCCCCTCCCTCTCTTTCTGTATATATATATATACATATATATAAAATATCTCTCTCGTCACTCCTCCCCCCCCCTCTCTCTCTTACCTCCCCCCTTTCTCTCTCTCTCTCTGTAATCCCTCCTCTCTCTCTAACCCCTCTTCTCTCTCTTTCTCGACCCCCCCCTCTCTCTCTCTGTCCTACTCCTACCCCCTCCCATTTCATGCTCTCTCTGTCTCTCTCTCTCCCTTTCTCTCTCATCCCTCCTCTCTTTATCTTTCTCACTCATCCCTCCTCTCTCTCTCATCCTTCCCCTCTGTATCTCTCTCCTACCCCCCCCCCCCATCTCTCTAGCTCTCTCTCTCCTCTTTCTCTAACCTCTCCTCGCTCTCTAACCCCTCGTCTCCCTCTCTTTCTCTCATCCCTCCCCCCTCTCTCTCATCCCTCTCTCTCTCTATTTCTCTCTCTCTCTAATCCATCTTCTTTCTCTAACCCTTCGTCTCTCTTATTCTCTCTCTCTCTCCTATCCCCCCCCCTCTAGCTCTCTCTCTCTAATCTCTCCTCTCTCTCTAACCCCTCGTCTCTCTCTCTCTCTCTCTAATCTCTCCTCCCTCTCTAACCCATCGTCACTCTCCCTCTCTCTTTAATCCATATTCTCTCTTTAACCCTCCCCCCTCTCTCTCTCCTACCCCCCTCTTTACCTACCCCCCTCTCTCTCTCTCTCTAATCTCTCCTCTTTCTCTATCCCTTCTCTCCCTAACCCATCGTCTCTTATTCTCTCTCTCTGTCCTACCCCCCCCCTCTCTCTGCCCCCCCGCACTTTACTCCCATCCTCTGTCTGGTCACACCTGTCTAACGTCAGCCAAAGTTAAAGGACCTGACGAATGTGTCAGGGGACAAACTGTTTTTGTACACCATGCAACCTCCTTGCAGTTTTTATTTATTTATTTATTTATTATTATTATTTATTTATTATTATTATTATTTTTTTATTTTTTTTGGGGGGGGTAGACGTTCACATTTAACTTCTGATTTTGATCTAACAAAACTCATATTGGTTACTTTTGATTGCAATGAGCATAGCAACAATGTATTCCAATAGTTCCTTGGCATTGTTTTAGCTATACAAGTCTTGCAACTTTTCTTGCAACTTTTGCTAATTTTTCTTGCAACTTTTTGCAACTTTTGATACTTTCAAATGCAACTTTCTCTGAGGACAGGTTATTATGTGAGAAGTTTTGACCGGACAAGCGACCCTTGACCCCGCCAGCTGGGACTCTGAAACTCCCCCTTCATCTCGCTCTAAATTTCTAAAAGTAGTTAAATCCATAACTTGAAGGAGGACATCTTTACCCTGACGGTTTAGTTTTATTTAGTAAGAGTATTATGGCACTCGCAACACAATGAGGTCATACAAGTACCAAAGATAAGAAGTGTTACAAGAGAATAACAAACACAAAATAGGAGGAGAGGCAGTTACGAGCGCCGCAAAACACTTACAGGTACAACAAAAATTTAATCACCACATTTAATTAAAAGCTCAAATAACAATGGTTAGAAGTAAAATTTAGATTTTATTGTGAGATGAAAGTGGTCAATGATCAATGACTGATTGAAACAGGACACAAAAACACAACAAGCATGGGAGAGAATAAGAACAATGTAGTCTTTATCACATACTTGGACAAGTCCGTGGAATAATTAAGAGCAACATTCCCACAACACTTTTAGAGTTCAGATTATGATGAACTATATTGTGGCCAAAGTTGTAGGGGTTAAACACAGAACAGTTTCCCAAAGAGAACTTTCACGAAGAAGAGGACAACACAACAGACTCGCAATAATGAGATCTCGGGTTCAAGTCTTTTTATCTCCATCAGGCAGGATGTTACATCCTTGCTAAATGTGCAATAAATGTTATAATTTCTCTTTATTTTTCTCAGTTCTCTCATCTGTAGGTAGCAACCAGGCAATCAGCAAAACTACTTAACTGTAGAAAAACGATTAACTGAGCACTCGCTAGTCTAGCAGGATGACAAGCTTTAAGCACCCAGGGCACATGAGATAGACAAATTGGAACTTGAAGAGAAGAGGAACAAGACGTCTTTACAGTTACCAAAGATGGGAGCATGTTAATGTGTAAAATTCAGTAGAGGCACCCAATGTTTAAAATGGATTTGAGATATCTTTATCTTTAGCCTACTTTGGAATATACTTCTAGAAAAGTTAGTACATTTTGAAAGAAAACATTGCTGAACTGAGCACAGACACAGTGCAGAGAGGCAAAATAATTCACCATAGAAAGCTTTTTCATGCGCAACACATTTTGTACACAACATGCCTTTGACAAACACAAGTCAGCTTCATACAAACAGACATTTGACAAACACAAGTCAGCTTCATACAAACAGACATTTGACACAACCATTCTGCACTGAACTTCCTCTTTCACACTCCTGAAAAAACCCACAATTTACTTCCTTTGACTTTGACTTCAGAAAATCTCATCAAGAGTGAAAAAAAACAACCCCAAAACGAAACCAACCCAAATGCATTTTTAAAAAACGGGTTCATGTTATTCAACTAAAAATAGACAACAGCTTCCATTAGCAGGACAAAACTACTGAATTTTATTGTTCTTTGTCCTTAAATTGTGTATCAACTCCAAGTTTTAAAAAAGTGCAGACTAAATTTATTAAATTTAAAGGTGCTTCCCGTCTTCCCTTCTTTTTTTTCCCCCCCAAGGATCAAAATAAATAATGCTCTCGTCTGAAGAGCGTAGCCCAAAGCAGCCTCAAATTATAAATTACGTTTTCAGCTAACAAAAGATGTTTCCTGTATATTTCTGAACACTAGAATAGCGTACCCTTTTATTTTCTCTATCTTCTCTATGAATACACTATTAAAATTATAATCATACATTTCAAAGTTTTATTTATCAAACCACAATTCTTTATCATGATTCCTTTTCTCGTTTCAGACTTAGGAATACAAAAACATTCAAAACTTTCAAAATTCATCATGTCAAAACATTCTCAAAAGCAAAAACATTTTGACTTGCTCTTGCACAACTTTGGTAGCATTACAGAATATAATATATTGATATATATTATATTACATATTTTTTATATAACCAAGAGATGAAATGCAGATACTGCAGAAGATAAGAGTCTATACTAAAAAAAAACAACCCTCTGCCAAACAAAACAAGAAAGGATTATTCCACATTCCCAATACAAGCAAAGACAGTGTAAAATTAATGCTTCTATACCAGTACCAAATGCACATAGCAATGCCAATGCATTTAAACTTGACTTGGCATAAAGAACCAGGAACTAACTTATCACATAACCTGTTCCCAACAGTGATAATTGGGAAACAGAATACATGTACAACAATGCCACACATTTTGTAACAAAATGACCAGTTGCGAAAATTAGACTGCAATAAATGTAAATTTAGGTTACATAACAACCGAATCTGCGCAGGCATCATTCATTCCATTAAAATGTGATGGCGTTTAAAAACTGAAGGAAAGCAATTCAGTTAATGAATACAAGATGAGAAACACTAGACAAAGAGCCAAATTATGATTTCATGGGTATTAAAAACGAACACAGAACTATTCCCTGCACAACAGACTTCCCAGCTCTGATTCAGTCGTATCAACAATTATGCTTTTTTCAAAATGGATAATTAGAACTATAAATCCTCCATTATCAACAAAAACAAAAAGAGCATTTTCAATTAGAGTGAAGTTATGCTCTAAGCTGTTGTTTTTTTTTCAAACAAAATAGACAGTGACTCAAGAGGAAAGAGGAACAGCAAGACAGCAATCTTCTAAGGAAAAACTGCTTAACTCCTTCGTAGCACAGGGTCAGTTCGTGCTTCACCGGGCACAGTTTTGGATCCCCAAGGACACAAAGCAGTACTAGATTTAGTGGTCACTTTCCAATAATTAGACCTGGTTTTCAAATACTGCTAACTATATCTATGTGGAATAGATTTTTTTTAACGTAAAAAATATTCCCGAAAGCGAATCTGCAATTAATTTGACGAAATGCATCTAATAGAAGAAACATGCAGAATATAGTCTATGACGTACAGCATTTGTCACCAATGTCCTCACACTTCGCAAGGCATGACAAATGCTGTACTTCACAGTAGTATCTTGGCTTGTCCGACGGGTAAGAAAAAATGATGAATGGTAAACTTCATATAGGTCACCAAAGGGTTATAGTATCAATAGGCAGAAAATCTCCAGTTACCTCTGCATGAGGGTAAGGCCCAGTGAATGACATTTTTTGTTCTGTTTTGAGGAATTTAAGAAATCTGATGTCCCGTAGTATCAGATCTGAAAAGTAAAAGGAATTTGTAAAATTATAGTTAGCACATATCTAGTTTTAGTTTTAAGACATTTGCTACAAAAAGGACTGGGGGGAGGGGGGGGGGGAACCAACATAAAACAAACTTGTGTATGGTACTTTCTTATCAAGCTGACCTTCAGTTATTTTGAATCTTCGCTTTCGCCACAAACATTTTTAAAAATTCACAATTTCATTTAGCTGTTAGGTCAGATTTGCAAAGCTGAACCTTCACAAGTTCACAACCATAATATAGGTACAGTATGACTGATGGCACATCAGCACAATGCACATTTCGTGTACAACAGGTGACAGAAACCACTCAGTGCCTTCACCCTGGCCTACCACTTGGGTTTTGAAAGTGCTTTACTTTGCTAGCATCCCCTCCACATCATAGAATTAGGAAAATTATTAAAACAACAAAAAGGAGGAACTATGAAAAAATAGATCTTGACTGTAACATGACATTGGAATTTTGACACAAAGAAACTGAAACCTGCCACAAAACAAAATAACAGTTGTTAGACAATTCAAATGCCTTATGATTGCTTGCAAAAACACAAACTTTAAAATCACGTGAAAACGAACAAGAATGCCGAGTATCAAACAACATTGCCTTGAAGCATTTAACAGTGTATTCTACTTCATGAGTACTGACCAAGAATAAAACTTCTGCATGAGGAATCAAAGGTATATAGGCACATCATTGACAACAGCAGTTAGGCACACTTACGTCAAGCAGATTGAAGCATAAACAGGAAAGAAAGATAGGGGAAAATGGGAGCTCACACATTTTCCATTATCATTGCGCTCCAAAAAATAGTCAACATGCATTCTCATATTTTCACTAATATTTCTTTTTGTGCTTTTCTTTTTCAGAAACATTACCCATTTCTCTCAAAAGTAAAACACTGGAGAAACTGGTCCCTTATAGGAGGAGTGTACTTTCAGCTACAGTATGTAAGTGTCACATGAATAAATTACCACAAAGCTTACGAAACACAGGGACAATTTGAATACAATACACACTTGCAATTCCCTCTATTAAGCACCAAGGATATTTTGCATGCAGTAAAGATCATGGGCAAGTTATGTGTGCTCCATATTTGCGGGAGCGTGTATTCAAGAGGTAGTGTTGCAGGTCCATCATATATGTACACTTCCTGCCCACATGATGGAAAAAGCTGAGGCTTGTTGTGTTACAAGACTTTCACCAGTATATATACATGTGAAATTTGAAATAGAATGGCCACCAAGCATTGATGCCTTTAAAGTAAAGAGACAGAACGGTTTTAGACCAAATCACTACAATAGAGTCAAAAACTTCAGGGTGGGTTGGAGTATTGTCAATGCATTTCAAACAACAACAAAAATTCAAGACTAAGTAAACGTGATCAATTATTGCACATGTTGAAAATGATGAAATCCATACTATCACGAGAATGAAAACCAGGCCAGAAGTACTGATATGATAGATGGTTAACTCCCCCCCCCCCCCCCCCCATCCACACAATTTAGATCATTTAGAAGACAGTTGCTTCCATCATGTTTGACAGGCTGAGAGGGATACAACGTCTCAGCAGAAAGATACAGATACTTGAAAAAACTTCTCCGCACACGAGAATCGAACTTACATTTTCTGCAAGCAGTGGTGATGCGTTAAACCCCTACACTACAGACACCAGTGGGAGCATTAATGAAAAGAAAAACAGGAAAAAATGATAAAGACAAATGTCCTTTGCTGTTCACAATTTGCACACATACGCACTGAAACATGTCAGGTCGTATCAGTGACACGTTAACATCGAAATAATTGACTAGCTCTTCACAACGCAGCGTATTCATTTGCATTTCCACACAAACTCAACAATATCAAGAAGAACTTAAAGAGGAATGGAAAGCCCTTTTATGCTCATGTCACAACAAGCATGCCTATACCTTATGAAAGGGGAAGGACTTCATAGAAGTAAGAATCTTAAGAAATGAAAGGACGCAAAGTCTCCTACACATAAATACTACAATGCGTACATGTAATTTCACACTTATGAGCAAATGTGATATCAGTGAATAAAATACTTTAATTAGAAACTTCAACTCTTAAAAAATCTATTAAATACATGTGTGACCTGAAAATTCAGATTAGAATTGTTAAAACTGCCAAATCAAAATGTCATATTTCTCTCAACAATAAAACGTATTAACTCCCCAATATAACGCACTACCTAAGTGAAATTGATGAATACTACATACTTTTCATTTTATGCATGTGACTGTAAGCCTGCGTGTGCGTGCATGTGTGTGCGTGTGTACGCGTGTACATGGTGAAACACCATACCAATGTGCCAGGATCCGGACAATAAAGATAAATCTTATCATCAATATAACTAGACAGAAACCATTTCTTTTAATGCATACAAGCCTCTAATTAATTTCAGGTTCTACAGTTGTCCCCACTTTATCAAACAGGTATAGACTAGGGGGGGGTTAGAGACAATTGGTAAAATGATCCCAGATTTTGGGGAGAAAGCCTTTTTCATCAGCAGAGGTATGGAGGAATGAAACAGATCAGAGGCTGTGGATTGTAACCTGCAGGTATACCGCAGAGAATGTGGCCGAGTCACGAATATCCCAAAATTTCCGTCTCTTTCAGCTCAATCCTGATGACACTAATGAGGAACTTGAAAGTCAAGTTGTACTTGGACCATGAAGACCAACAGTAGAATGATTAAACTGATAACAGCAAAAATATAATATAAAGCATGGAGTGGGTCAAATTGGTTGACTGATAGTGGTGCTGAGAAGAAACTTTACTGGAAAAGATTGGAATTCTTGGCGGAAGCTGTTTTCAACTCGGCAAAAACAAGTTTGGTTGAGTTTCTACAAATTTGTGTCAGTAGAATTCCTTTGACTTGGGTCAAACTTGAAAACCTACTAGAACATCAAAGCACTTCATGGCTGATGTTGTTATTGATCCAGACCTCCGGGATAAAAAACTGCCAGAATAGATAAGCACATGCAGCGCATATTGCGCAGTGACCTTGTGCAAGAAAAAAATTAAATCCAAATACATGCACAAATCAACATCTTCACGACTGTTGGTATCAGTATTAGTGAAGAAAAGTTCCAGCCCCATCAACAGTTCCGTGCTATTTGCAACATCTGCTGAAACTTTAAATCAGATGAGAAGTTAATATAGCTGATACAAACTAAGACCATAGAAATATGCAAATGAAACAATAGTAACAAAGTGATAAAAAAAACCTTGAAAATGACATACTGAAAACCAATTGTATGAACCTGTATATCATAATTCTTACTTCACAACTTCTGCCATTCTAAGGCAAGGAGACACACTATAAAAATCCATCATTTGTCCAAATAGACAAAAAAAAGAAAGACATCACTGGAGCAACAGACACAAGAAAGAATAACGTATCACTCATATAACATACAAAGGAAAGAAAAACGTCTCTTGTACAATATGCAAAAGAAAGAAAAGCATCATGTGTGTAATCAGCTAAAGAAAATTCAAATACTGTGTAGAACAGACACAAGAATGAATTTTAATGAAAACATTAACTTGTACAACAGACAAAAGAACGAAAAATATCAAATGAGCAACAGAAAAAAGAAACAAAACATCATGAGTTCAACAGGCAACACAACTCTCCATGGAGCCAATCCAATACATGGATGATCAGGACTAGGCAAACCCCTCGACTTTATCATGTTGTCAGAGGACTCCCAAAACAACAGCAACAACAACACAAGACTAGACAACTTTTTAATAAGATTCTTTCATCAGATTGTATAGCTGTTAACTGTCCCCTCTGCTCATCTTTGAAAAAAAAATCACATTGCATAAGGTCTCCCAAAAACAACAAATACCTAATGTTCAATAACTGAATGTGAAGAGCTTGGAGTCGTCAACTCACATCAGCTACTTCAAGCATCCAGAGTTTAAACAACAGACTATTAGTAAATCAGACAAACACATCCAGTCCTAGCATGGCTACATTATGCTTCTCATAATGTTCAAAATAATATTTCAATCAATTTTGACTCGGCAACAACAGCAACAACTCTCAGGGCTTGAACTTCCATCACATCACTGCACAGCATTTCATTTACTTGACATAAAACAGAAGGAAAATCAATACTTTATGCCTCCAATTTTCGCTTTCTAGTGATCAAGATGAAAAAGAAACTTTCATAACAGTCTCAATAGATATCTCTTCATACTTCATATAAAAAAACAATAAAAACTCATCTTCAGTCTAGTTCCAAATCTCAGATTTTGTCATTCCTGTTCCTTTTCCATTCATCCTCACCGTCCTTTCACGTAATTGCAGTCATAAGCTTTGGTAAGGAAAACTCAACAAGACAAAGGAAACCAACAAATCCACAGGCTGAGGCAATATCAACGTGAACAACAGATTGCAGAAACAAAAACTGAGACCAATCAACGCTTTGTTGATCCACCTGCAAAGAATTCACAACCCATGCTCTTGTCCCAAGATTCAGGACTTATTACAAGTTGAAGTGGCGTCTGGCATTTCAGTCGCACAAGCCCACATCTTTCCGTCAATTCCTGCACATCAGGCTACAAGACTTAGGGCAAGAGAAACAAGCCTTAGAGTCATTTTTATTTTGCAACAATGAAATCTTTTTAAAATATCTGCACTGGCATGAGGATATAAAAAGCTTTGAACACGCTTCGTACATAAATTCATGCTATGAAAATAAAAATTCCTTCCCTCCCCGAAAAGCAATATTGTCATAGCTATACACAACATTCAGGATATTTTGAATCTGCCACACATTTCCTAACCATTCTGCTTGTGCAGTACCTTCACTGGGTATTTACTCTAAGTCTATCAATTCATTTCTACACAGAAAATGTAAATTAAAGTGTTTTTATTTTCCATGCTGCTAAAACAAATTTCTTGGGAAACGGGAAATAAAGATCATTTTATCTTTTTTTATCACCAGTCGTTCAGACAAGAAAATTTCTCGTGTTGAAAATAAACTAACTACCAGTATGTATCATATTTCTCACTGTAGCTGTCTGCATTTACTGACACATCATAGATAATTTAGGATGCCAGCTGCTTCGACTTGGCCAGTCAGCACCACTGGGCCTACTGGGACACAGTAGAGAGGAATTCCCTGTGTGAATGAATCAGAACCATCCGTTCAGTGTGATCACAACAGCTTTCCTGATTACCTTTTGTCTTCGGTAGTTTCTAAAGTTCTTAGCTGTAAACAACAGCTCTGTACACTCATAACATTTTACAGTAACACATGCTATGGTTGCAATTACATGACATCAAACTGCACGGGTCCCAGTTCAGAAAAAGCAGCCTTGAGCGTGGCATGAGGAGTCAGTCGACATACATTCCGGAGTCACTAGGTTTGGGGGTCCCAGCGTTAGCTTAAATAAAACAAGTTAAAAATCATCTCATTCTTCATCTCTGGGCTTCTCAAGAACAGGGAGGGACAGGTCGGGAAACAGCTCCAGAATGACAAGGTCCAGCAGCATGTAGCTCATCTGAAATCGAAACAAAATATGGGTCAAAGAGCTTTCTACCAGCAACCATTGATTGTTTTCCAGTTTTCACAAGGACAAACCACATATCCGGAGTGACCCAGGAGATACACAGAGCTCATTACTAAGAGCTGCAGTTCCCCTGTGGTGGGGTGCCACTTATACACTACACAACAACACAGGTGTGAGAGTGGAAATATATATCTACAGTTACTATGACCTCTGCAAAGTTCTCAACTGTATTAGTTGGTAGGTTAACGGTCCAGTCTGGCAAAAAAAAAATTAGCTCAAAACATCACCACAAAGGGTATGCCTTTTAAATATAATAATACTAATTTTTACATTTAAGTAAAGTAAAGTAGTTCCCCCATCCGATCCGGACATTGGGGATAGCCTTGTTAGTGAGACAACTTCCTGAGCCTTCAGCATATTGTGGTAGGATGGCCAGTTCCTTTCCACGCTGCCTTTACTTCCCTAACTCGAAGTCAGGTACCCATTACTGCTGGGTGGGTAGTGGGCGAAAAAAATGCGGGTCCTAAAAAGTTAAATTGTTCCAGCATCTGATCCGGACATTGTGGATCTCCATATTAGTGAGACAACTTCCTGGCCTTTCGGCATATTGTGGTAGGGTGGCCAGTTCCTTTCCACGCCGCCTTTACTTTCCCAACTTGAAGTCAGGTACCCATGACTGCTTGGTGCGCAGAAGGGGGCGAAAAAAATCTGTGTCAGAATCAAGGCTCGAACCTGGACTTTCCGTTTCGGAGATGAGTGCACTAACCACTCCGCCACCACACCCTCCAATTATATTTATACAGTGCATATCCATGCTCCACAGCTTGTTCTACGAATTTTACAACTATTATTACCCTCAACAGACCCAAGAACACTTAGAAACATTCTCGGCTTCCCAGGAAGCACACAGTGCAAGCAGCCAACCAAATGCTCAACCATTAACTGACTAGGATTTTTGCTTTGTATAGCCGTGTATCCATTCCCACTTGGGTGAAGTGAAGAAAATTCCTGTAAAGTGCGTTTCCAAAGGACACAACCTCAGTCCCACGACAGGGTTCAAACCCCTGACCTGAGCTTCGCAGTCTTACCACTAGACCACCGATCCATTTGGTTCTAGTATGGCATTAAACTCATACAAAACACATCACATTAGGCAGAAGTTTAAGCTCAAAAGAACAAGATAAATGATTACAACACAAGAGTGGACTGAATCACATTAAATAAAACCAAAACCAGTACAATACCTGCTTATTGAGCTTTGGTTGCTGGAAGATTTGCAGCAGGAGTGTGCATCCTTCTGTAGTCTTTGAGACGCCAATAGTAGAAGCTACTGGGCCTGCAAGGAGGAGTGATATAAATAATACAGTGAAGTAATGAAAAAACCCAGAAAGAAATACTGGAAAGAAAAGAACTCATCGAGGGAAAATTTGAGTTAAAAAGGCATATCATAATTATTATAAATTAAGACATACAAAATTCACATATTACAACCCGCCACATTCTGTATAATATTCCACCATTTAGTATATCTACAATCGGACAAAGCCACCACGTTTACAAATATTCTTTCTTTCTTCTTCCTTAGTCTTAGATGACTATTGGGGCACCAACGATGATCAGGCAACCACTTTTCTCCATCCTTCTCTATTTCCAGCCTTTCAAAGGGTTTCACCCAACTTGAAACAGGTCCATTCTGTTATGTTTATTTATATATAACACCACAAACACATCATTTACTATGCATATAAAACATCAAAAACCCACCTCTTTACACATCTACCCCGGAACTTCCCCCAATGTGTTCCTTGTGTGACTATGCATATGAGACTGTGGAGCATCACCTGTTCCACTGCACAGCCCTAAATGACATCAGAGCTACCCTTCTCCCTCCGAGACCTAACATAGACAACACACTCTATGGAACATTACAGCAACTGCAGCAGACCTGCACTTATCACTACATGGCATTGGACAGAAGGGCGAGAGCCCAGCTGTTGCTGGATCTATAACAACAACAACAACAAATACATCTACAAGTGCACAAACCTAACATTAAGTACACTCATAAATTTACAACTGCACACACCAACCACTTACGACATATTTTCAATATTAAACTGCAAAGCCACCGCTCACCATAATAATATACAGTACCACAACCTCACAACTGTTGGTTGCTGCAGTGTAGAAACATTTCTTGAGCCTGGCACAGGTCTATTGTGTCTTGCTCAAGGATGCACCCCAGGGAGTTCCCAAATTAAAAGCAGAGTCACAAACATTGGGTGGACACTGTTCATGAGCCTTGGGTCACTGACCACTAAACAAGTGCAGCCTCTATGTGCACATCAAAAGATATGTCCCCATGAGTTCATGTCGGTGGGTGATTGGCAGATGCTCTGAGGTGGTTGGTTTCTTCTTTCCTGTCAATCATTTACTGTCCTTATCTCTCTGCTACCTTTTTTGTGTTTGTTACTCTCTTGTGACACCTCTAATCTTCAGCACTTATATGACTTATCTGTGTTGGAAGTGCAGTAAAACTCTTACTAAAACAAAACAATGTGACCATGTCTCCGATTTGGTTAAAACTTGACATATCTTGTTTTCTACATTTGTATTTATGCAAGCCTGTTCGGCAATTAGGATAACACTGACCAAAACTGAAAGCTTATTTTCTGGAAACTAAACTGTTATTTTCTTATTAAATTGATGACAACTTATCAACCCCATTAAATTATTACAGTGGTATGAACTTATGAGCATTACCTGGTATAAATTCCAAAAATTCTTTCACTACTTGGTCATATCTTTGCTTCTTGTCTTCATCCGTTCTGAAAAGAAGAAATAAAACAGTACATGCATTAGGAAATAAATCTCTAATGTCACAAAAGGTGAATAATGAAGAGAAGTCTACTCTCAAGCTCCACTTCTCTCATACAATGCTTTTTGACAACATGAATTAGAAACACAAAGAATGAAACAATGATCACTCTGTTTCCCTTTCTTTTCAACATTAAGTGGCATTGGTAATTTATCTATCTTTAGAAATGAACAATAGAAAGCCAATACAGTGTTCTGAACTAAGATGTATACCTTCTACAAAGTGAAAATTTTTTTTTTTAATGATTAAAAAGTAGTCGAAACTACTGTAACGACCTCCTGTCCTAGACAATCATCATCACAACCCCCCCCACTTCTCCCTTACATTTTATCTAAATTATAATGGCACTGTCCATGAAGACCTCTTGTTTAAGTTGGACTATTTTTCTCCTCAACTTTGGGTGGTCGTCTTGGACAGATTCAACTGTATACCTCTAAGTAAACAAAAATAGTAAATAAACAGAAACCAGAATAATTTTATCGTTAAAGCAGTGTAGAATACTGTACAAAATCATTCCATACCTTGGAGGATCCTTGTCAAAAAAGAGGACATCTGTAAAGGAAAAGAGAAATTGTGTGAATTTTGAGTGTTCTGAAACAAATATTTGTCTGACAAAACCTGTAAGCGACGCTAATGCTTAAAATCAAGAGGTATTGGTGAATTAGCTGAGACCAAAGCTTTATGTAAGGTTAAAAGAAAACAGTGGATTTACAAGAGTAATGTAGACAGAAGTTTTAACTTATTAATTTAAAAAAACGGTCAATTTCAATTAAATAAAAAGCTTTGAATAAAAAGGAACTTTTTGTTGGTATACTATATTTTTACTTGCCAAAATGAAAAAAAAAAGCATTTAGTTAAAAACATAATTAAAAACTATATTTTTTATCAGAATAGTATTATTCTGTCTCAAACATGCCAATACAGTTTGAGTACAAATCACTCTATTTAAATAATAGCATAAACAAATTTTACTAGGTAATTTAGAAAGACTATTCTCTTCCAGTTTAGAACAGCAGGCAGGTGATGCTGTTTTCCCAAGCCACCACAAAAATATATTTTAACACAAATCCACTCACCTCTGAGTAAATGTATCAATAAAACCACGCGGTGTTCCTGGGTGACTTGGGTTATCCGTCGGTCCAAATACCAGTCTAGATAGCTCTCAATAGTTTCTTTGAACAAGATTCTTGCTGTGAGCAAAAGCTGGCACACCAATGAAGAACACTTGTACACTTCCTTGGCTGAAAATTTAAGAAACATGTGTACAGCAAGGACCATCAGTTTGAGTTCAGATTTTACATCTCTTTCACAACGAATCTTTCGTTTTATATAAACAAGCAAACCTTCAATTTAAAAATCTTCTTTTACAGGGTAGAGTGAATCCTCTAAAGAGCGCGGAATGCAAAAATATACAAAAATTTTAACTTGGGCCATCGACATAGAAGTATAGTGTCTTAAAGGCTTAGGTAACAAATTTTACACAATGCATTCCTCGCGAACAGCTTCTAGTATCTATAAAACCACAGACACTTGAACATAACACACTGATTCGTGTAGACAGCTTCTAGACTTTAAAATGATTTGCAGATGTATCAGTACTTTTGGGCTAAAACAATATAAAAACAAATTTTAAAGGATATAATAAGCTTGTTCTTGACCTCCTATCCCCTGATCGGAATTGTCAGTTTGTAAGATATTGGAACTGGTATATTATAGTCAGACATTGTTCAGCAGTGTTTGCCTGGGAACAAACTTTGATAGTAGTATAACAGATAAGAAGGGTCAAGAGAAGACCACAACATCACAGCTAAAATCAGAAAAGGATTTAAATAATAGTTTCAATTAGAAAACATAAAAAAGAAAAACACTGACATTCATGGACAGTTTGACAAAAAAGACAGCAACAGAGAAACAAGACAATATTATGTCTTTTTGTAAAACTAGCTGAATACTAAATTACATGTGGGTATTTCGAGCAATATAGTCTAAACTGTCCAAGATGACCACCAATTGTCGAGGGGGAAAAGTGATCATCTTGGACAGGTGGTCGTCTTGGAAAGTGCCATTTTGAAAGGGAAAAAACACAAGGGGGAAAGCGGGTATTGGTCATCTGTACAGCTGATTGTCTTGGACAGGTGGTCTCTAGAGCAGACTCGACTGTACATGTATTAGACCTTATTGGGGAAAAGGAAAAAAAAAGAGAAAGGGAGACGAAAGAAGAGCAAGGGGAGGAGAAAAAGCAGCACAGCCGGGACACAGGATGAGAATGAGGAGATAACAAGGAGGAGATGAGAAAGGATGAAGAGAAGGAGAAGAGAAAGGAGAACGAAGAGGAGAAGCAGGAGCAGACGAACAAGTAGTAAACGAGCATAAGTATTCACCAATATATATGAGCGAGTCAAAGACCCCATCAAATTCTTTGGTATGTGGGACTGAGTCTGGGTGGGAGTCGGCGGGGTAAAAGCCCAGGTTTGTGTTGTTCTCATAGTGAGTGCCTGAGAACTGAGGACAAAACAAAAGCAGAATAACACATGCACAATCATAAAGTGCCCATTTATAGTCATGTATCCTCCAGAAGGCTCATTCTCTGCTTCAAACCAATAACTCACGCCCAGTCTGTTCATTTCAATATACTCCACTTTAGTCCCCTAAGGGATATATATAGTGTTGCAGCCTCTGAGGTGTATTTCCCTGTAATTCACATGCTCCATCACTACTAGTAGCCAAAAGACCATTGGCTGTTGAGTGCACTAAGGTTAAATTGGGTACAGATCCTTTGACGAGGAGCCAGTAATCAAAGCCACAACTTTTTCCTTGCAAGACAGTACCCGATCCCTCAACTAAGATTCTCCCCTCTTTTTTTGTTCTCAACTATTTGATATTAATAATAATAATAATGACAGTTGCATTTATATCGCACATACATATACTCTACAGCACGCTCTACCTTCTTTACAACTATTATTACCCCAAAAGACCCTAGTACACAGAAACATTTTCAGCCTCCTGCAAAGCATACAGCAATACTTTATCAGATAACACTTATATAGCTGATATTATTCGATCCTAACTGTGTATATATGTGAAAATTAATTTTCAGAAAAGTGGATCAAATATAATTTCTTCTTCATAAGCCATCAGAATTGCTAAAAATTTTGTGTATAATGTTTTTTTACAAGTATAGTATTATCAATTGTAATTACTGTGGCGAATAACATAATTTGAGACAAAAGAAATGTTGGACTTTGTTTGGTGGATATACAGTTAGGGTCAGACAGTTGATGATATGTATGGTTTTAAAACGAATCTGAGCAGCTAGGACAAGTTGTGCTGAGATAACTCTAAATCATATTACCAAATAATCAATTTATTAAGGATGTAAAAGGGTTGGATAAATTCTTTTGTATAACAGCAAAAATGATACAAAAGGCATAAAACATCCATTTTGCGAACAACAGGAATGAAAAACCACGCATCAAAACATTGTTTAAGCAGCAATGTTTGCATCACTTTACAAAGAGATTTCACTAAAACATAAGAATACTCCTTGTTTGTTATCACTTGTAAAAAAGACAAAAAACTGGTAATACTAACCACATTATTCTATCTACAACATAATTTGATTCAAATGGAGAAGTACAAGGCGTTATTGAACATAATATAGGTTATGTCACAATCCAAGCAATTGTTCCCCAGCGAGAAATCAAGCTGACACAGTATCAGACATCTCAAAGACCAACAAAAATTCGGACCCCAATGGATCTCAGTATTTTCACACATTAGCAAAGTCCCTTAACCAGCTGCTTCACAGAGGCCATCAAGCCATATGCCACTTAACTGTTGTTTTCCATTTCAACCCCAAAAAGCACACATTAAGTTGCAGCGATATGACCCTCCTGAGATATGACAACAAATAGTGAAAAATTTTGAAAAGGGTGAGGAAAGGAGGTAATTCCTACCTTATCACTAGAGGTTGACAGCAAAGATGCTTCTGAACCTCGCCGAGGTAACTTGCTGCAAGTGCGAGAAAATTATAACAAAGAAACTAAGAAACAATAAAAAAGAAATTATTAGCCGCATTCAAAAATAAATTTAAATAATAGCATTTTTATTTGATAAATAGATTATTACATAGCATGATATAAAATTACAACTAATAATAATGATAATAAAGATCACTTCTACAGCACCCACTTCCCAGTGCTCTAGGTGCTTTACAATAAAATAAAGACTTCAATCAATGTTTCATCCATACTGGCCAATTCAACTAACAACAATTCTTTCAAATACACATACACTCGTAATCTAATGAAAAACACATACACAAAAAGACAATCACTGTGGCTACTGATAACACTTATTCTTGGAAGAACAAAAAAACTAATTAGTAAAATGGGATTTAAATGAATGTGTTTTTAGATCAGAGTTGAAAGCATAAAAACAATTCTGGAGAACTACCTCCCCCGTTTGACCTGAAAATGTATAAAGGAGTCAAAAGTCAAAAAAATACTTCTGATGCTATGCCAAAAGGAACTGTTCAGTTGCCAATATTATAAGGAACTACTGCTGATTTTGTGAGAGACTTGTTTTTAACCTTCGTCCGGCGGGGGCTGGGTTTATGTCGCCCGATAAGCCTATTTCGACACCTCGTCTTCGTTCCCGTCCCGCGCCAGTCCCCTGGCTCAGCGCATGTGCGCCGAGCATCATCTCCGTTCCATTCGGGTCCTACGTCGGACCCGCATTCACGCAGCTCAAGTGTGTGTGTGTCAGTCTGCTTGAGTTTGTGTGCGTATGTGGCCTACTTCTAAAATCGCCTGCGTTGGTTCGTAACCGAGGCATACGTCTCATTCAAAACACTCCAAGTCGGTAGCTCTAGATGTTCGTCCAATGAAATTAGAACAAATTGACAAACTTAGACATGAGGAGCTCGAAAGGATAGTCAAGAAACAAGACTTCCATTTTTCTTAAAAAAATATCTTTCAAATGAGCTTGATTTTGTATGAAATGATACTACCTTATAAAAAATAAGCTTGTTTGATAATTTTGAATACCATTCTGCAGGTAAAAAGAACATTTTGAGCGTAAAACATTCGGAAATTGACTTATATTATCCCCTTTCGAACCTGAGATCATTCATAACAACAAGAAGGTCTAGAAGATTATTCGAATGGGCGTAACTTCTCGTAATGTCTGACCAGCTTGTGAGAGGGGGTTATTCATGTCTCGTAACAGTTTATAAATAGAAAGCTATAAAATAGAGTGTTATTTTCATCAACGATTAACACACTCCCACGGTATTAATGGCGAAAACACACTTTTCCTGGCCCGCTTGCAGTACATCAACAGTACACATTGAGTGACCCCGGCAGCCTGCCTGGAACGTCCGACGTAATTGGTTGCTGATAAGATTCGCATCTCAGCACAGATGCAGGACAAGAGTTAAGAGATTAAATGATGACTGATGGGAGATCAATCCTCTTTCCACATCTAACTTTGAATTGACTTCTCAAACATTTCTCCCATTAATTGCTGACACTCTTTCATATGAACATTAATTTAGATTACTATATAAATCCATTCAAGATCTAAATAAAAAACTGCTTTCTCAAAGTAGAACAGACTCATAGACCTAAATTATGACAATGAGAGAAGTTTCAGGTTAATAATTGAACAAGCTTAAAAAATTCTTCAGCTATCAGAAAGGATACACTAGTTCTTCAACATTCAACTCCCAAAGCTTTCTTTTTCTTTAGCTTTCACTGTAAAATGGAAATTTCCTACGGCAAGAAAATTAAAAGCCTGGCCATGGCTAATGGCAAAGACAAATGATAAACAAACATTATATTTACCTTGGACGAGGTTTTGGAGCTTCGGTTGAGGATAAGAAATTCACCAGGAATTCGTCTAGATGCTGACCTTTCTGCATGACAAAAAGAATAATTCAATTAGCCATGGACATCATACACTTGCATAATTCAATACAAGTTATCAAGAGTGTTGATCACAGTAGAACCAACAATGATGATACCTCATGGTGGGTTGTCCAGATATCGTCATAAGACAACATAACAAGAGTAAGTCAACAACGGCACAAAAATCATCAAATTTCTTCAGCTGTAGGGAAAGACAGTACAGTTTTGAACTCCTTCAGAGAGATTTCATTACTCTGATTTTAAGACCTCAAAAATATTCACAGACTTCTTTTCCCAACAGCTTATCACACAGATCTTCTTAAAGTTACCATTCACATTGAGTGGGATACAGATTAAGCGATAGAGAAATGCTGATGTTACTTAGTGATGGTTTACAACGAGTTAGCATAATGGTCACATTTTTCAGGTAAGTGAAGTAGTAACATGGACAAAAAGAGGATTGGAGCGCACTAACCACACAAACTTTGTTTAAAAAATGAAAAATTCTTGAAAACAGTATTTGCTAACATTTCAAGATGATCTTTCTGAATAAATCAACTCATTGTGATGCTTGGGTCACATAAACAGTACAAAAGAACACAAGCCATAGGAATGACCAGTTGCGGAAAAGACTGATTTGAACCTGGGAATAGTAAAGATGTGTATTCTCTCAAAGTATTTGACTTAAAAACCAATACTTTGTTACTTAAGAGACATCAAAATAAACGAAGGGTGCTAGGAAGTGAAAAAAAGAATTTTCCGGTCTCTCTGCCATGAAGCCAACTGGCTATTAACAATTCTCTACAAATTGGATAAAAAATCAAAATCTGTGAAAAGTCATGACTGTGGGAATATGAACTGCTATGTCTTATCAAAGGAAAATGACAGATGATGTTCCTTTGCAATACCTGACAAGGATGAATGAAAAGTGTAAAACATTTTACAAGGACTTACCTCTTTCACTAACTTGGTCTTTACATACTTGCCTGAAGACAAAAAGTAAATAACAATCTTTCATGATTTTGCTCCTGAACGTGAGCAACCCACACCCCCCACCACACACCTTGAACCCACACCCCCCACCACACACCTTGAACCCACACCCCCCACCACACACCTTGAACCCACACCCCCCACCACA